ACCTTATATATATATATATATTTGAAATTGGAAGAAAGTAATGAGACTGTAAGATTATGATCATGAAAAATTTGAATAACATATTTGATTTAAAAATGATATTTACACATAAAAAAATTGAAAAGTATTTAACTAAGAAAATAATTCATTAAAATTCAAATATTTTTTAATATTTTGAAAATCTGAATTAAATCCTTTAAAAAATTATCACCATCTACATTTAATAAGATTCGTTTAATGTTTAATTTTTTTTGACTGAATATCACAATATTTTTGATATCTTTTAAGAATATTTTAAATTTACATTGATGTTCAAAATATAATGTGTAAGAAGAATCTGAAAAGACAAAAGTTAATATCTCAAAGGCCCAATTAGTTAAACTGTTCCCACTTTGCACTCCAAACCCGTCTTTAAAACTTCGCCTTTGATCTCTGACAGTTCACTCTCTCACCATTTCGAAAATTTGTCCTTTTTTCTTGTTTTCCCTCTCGCCATGACCAACCCAATCGAGAGTGAAATCTCCGACGAAGACCTTAACCCTAGCGCCGCCGATCAATGCCAATCAAAGGATCCATCTCCACCGCAAAACTCACCACCTACCGTTTCCCAATCTCCCCAAACTGAAACCCTAACCCTACCCGATCCCGATCCTCGATTGTCTAACCCTAACCAAGATCATGATTCTATGATGCACGAACCGATTCCCATAGTCACCGTTGACGATACGGAGCCTGATGACGCGGAGCCCAATGTCCCCGGCGGCGCCGTCGGAGGAGGCGGTACTGCCACACGGCGCACGGCCAAGAAGAAGAAAATGGGTAACAAGAGGACCGCGAAGGAGAGAAAGTGGCGGGAGAAGATTCCGGGTATCGTCGAAACCCTAAAACCTATTCCCTTCACGCCTGCGAAAACCCTTGAATTCGATAAACACCAGAGCCTCTTGAAGTGTCTGGGGCTCTGGGATTTTGTCCACGTCGAGTTCGATTCAGCGCTCCGCGCCGATCTCCTTGCGCAGCTCATAGTTAGCTATGTCCCCAATTATCGATGCGGCTACGTCAACGGGCTTAGGATCAATGTCAGCCGCGCCGATCTCGGCCGCGCCCTGAAGCTGCCGAAGAAGACCGTTGGCGCCGCTGCTTCCGTTGCTGTGGTTGATGATTCGGTAGACTTGAATGAATCTACTGCGTTTGTTGAGGAGTTAGTGTATCATTGGATGCTTTTGCCTTATGAGACTTGTATGATGACTGGTGAAATTTTAGGGTGGTTGGATTTGATCAAGGAGGGGAATTTCGAGAAGATTGATTGGGCAGGAATGATTTGGTGTATGGTTGAGAAGGAATTGAGGGCGCCGCAGTTGGTGAATTGTTATTACGCTTCGCATTTGCAGCTTATGATTAAGACGCAACATAAGGAGTTGTTGGAGATGGCCGTTGAGGTTGGGGAAGAGGAGAACGAGGTGAAGGAGGAAGGAGAAGAGGAAGATGAAGATGAGGAGGGGGTAAAGGAAGAGGTGGATGGGACTGGGGATGTTAAGATGGATGAGGTTGATGGGGGTCAGGTTCAGGAGTTAGAGGGACGGGTTCAGGAATTGGAAGGGCAGGTTCAGGAATTGCAGGAGCACCACATTGAGCTGAGTCTTGGGCAAGACAATAATGTTGGGAAGGTTGAAGTGGAGAAGGAGCAGGGTGGACAGGAACAAATGATGGATTTTGAGCAGGTTAAGGACGTTGAAGAGCCTGGGATGTGGCTTATGGATCAAAAGAGCTGTGTGGAAGAGCCATTTCTGCGGCCCTGTCATGGTGATGTGAAGGGTCTGGGCTGTGAACAAATGATAGAGGACGAGGGAGAAGATGGGCAGCAAGAGGAGGAAGGGGAGGAGGAGGAGGATGGAGAAGAGGATGAGCACGAGGGCGGGTTCCATCTCTCTCCAAAGTGTATTCCTATGGAGGGGATAGCTTCTGGGAATGGTCTCGCTCATGTGATGGATGCTGAACAATTGCCTTTTGGTTCTGGGATTGATCTTCGTGACAATCCGGTCGGGGATTTCCTGTCATCCAGGGATGAGTCTCAGATGATTTCTGGTTCATCACTTTTTGGTAATGGTCACAAGAGAGACAACCTTGCCCTGGATAATCATAACTCTCATCATTCTTTGAATGGCAGTAATAAGAGGCTGAGAAGTGATAGCCCGTGGAACACCAAACCAGCGGACTTTGAAACATGCGTGGAACAGATAGAACATTGGACGGAGAAAGCTAGAATCATGTATGCCGCAAAAGATCAGGCTTGCGAAGAATCTACAATGAATCAGCAACTCTTAATGAATGAGCTACAAAAGCGAGATAACTTGATTGAACATTTGCATAAAGCGAAGTTTGAGGAGAGTCAGAAAAGGCAGATGGAGGTATATAGGTTTGAGAAAGAACTTTATATGATGCAAAGCCTTGTCGATGGATATAGAAAAGCCATGAAAGAAACACGAAAGGCTTTTGCTGAATATAGAGCACGCTATCCTCAGGGTGACGAACCACTCTACGCGGATGTTCCTGGCTCCGGGGGTCTTGTTTTGACTGTGGTGGAGGTGGAGAAGGAACGTCTAAAGAAAGAAGCAGAAGAAAGGGCGAAGTTAAGGGATTTTATGACAGAGTTTGAAAAGAACTGTACTGATTTTGAATCTCAATGGTCTGGTAAATTTGAAGCTTATGTGAGTAGAGTTGAATCTCTGAATGAGAGGTTTCTGGCTTTGGAGGACAAAATGAAACAATTGAAAGAAGTGAATACTAATGGCAAGGTTTCTGATCCTATTGAAAGCGCTCCAACTACTGAAGGAGAAACTGCTTAGTAAGGTTGAGCTTTTTCAGTAGAATTCGATTAAATTTAGTTCATATCAAATTCAAGGCTGCTGGTTGCTTATGTTTATAATTATAATTATAATGTACAGAGCTTTATTTTGAAACCAGGACCTTTAATTAGGGTAATTGTTACCTTTTATTATCTTGAGATGAAGTCACAAATTATGGAAACTTATTGTGTTTTGCATTTCTATGTTCTCTGTTATTCTTGCTAGCAATTTTAATTATGTTTGATGCTCACTTCCAGTTGACATTTCACCTTCTTCTGACCAAGTATCTTGTTGAAAAAATGTGATCAGATTAGTTATAGAAATATTAGAAACATTTATTTGTGTGATCTTTTGTCGGATTAATAAATTGATTTATTGGATAGTTGAATTCTTTGGAACGCCATCCATTATCAGTTACTGTGAAGGTTGTTAGTATATCATGTGGTAGAATTTCGGTCTTCATTCTGTTAAGGTTGGTAGTATTAACTTTTAAAAATCAACAGAGACAACTGTTGATGTATGTTTGTTATTAGTCACGTTTCATGATTTATCAATTTCTTCGACTGTAAGAAGGGAAACCTGATCTGTGATATCCATCTTTTCGGTGTTCTCTTCAAATTTAGGCGTCAACATCAAATTAAATCCATTTTACATTACCAGTCCTGTATCCTTGATGGCCAAATTATGGAAATTTGTTACCTTGAGGATAGTACCATTTTATCATCCCAGCTATTTAGAAGTTTATGCCCTTCTGTATAAACTACTACTAGAGGTTAATAGTGTGCATTATTTAAGTTGTACTTAATTACATGTCATTGTTGGAAAGAGATAACCCTGCTAGTGCCTTGACGTGCCCATTAATATGCTTAGAATCACGAGATTGAGTGGTACTTGAGGAATGGGTTGGGCATCTGTTTACAAAGTATTTTGAGAATTAGACGTATGTAAAAATCATAATTTGCAACTAACTTGCAGCATGGAGTGATCTTTATGATAAAAAATTAAATACCTCTAGTGGAATCTTATGTGATAGTATTCTGTGGAGGTTTCGTCATTCTTTTATTCATTGTTTGAGTTGTGGAAGGAAAATGAAACAGAAATATACCCAATGGTTTATTTGTTTCTCTTATAATTTTTTTTATTTAAAAACTACTGTGAGAAACGGTTATATGAAGTTCTGAAATTTGTTTTGAAAACATTGTTTTAGAAAGTAAAATACAAGAACAGGTAGGAGATATAGTTTCTGATTTTCAATTGTTTCTCTGTTATGTGCACGAAAGAAACAATAACCGTTTTTATATGCTTTCATAATCCCAATCACCAATCCTCTTTATTAGATATTAGAATAGGATGTTAAGGGTGTTGTCGTTCTTGTCGGAGCTGATGAAGACAGGAAGTGTAGCTTCGGCTGGTAGACCTGACGGAAATCAATAGACTGAGTTAGGCATAAAGGGAATTTTCAAAACATTGTTCAAACCTTTTTTATTTTTAATTTTAAAAAAATAGTAAACTGGTTTTGCAGGAAAAGCAAACAGGCTGGACGTAATTATCACTTTTGTCTGGGAGCAGAAATAATATGAAAATAAAATTTTAGATTCAGTAGTAAACATTATAAGTGAAACAATTTATTTCTATTTCTTTCCAGATCCAAACAAAAAGCTTGCTTTATTTTTTAGAAGATTGAACAGTAACCAAGTGCTTCAAATGCAATTGGAATGTATATTAGTGAAAAACTCCACGGGTTAATTTACATGATATTGAATGGAAAACATCGTCGAATTAATTTTTTTCTTAAATGATGAAAGTTTCACCATTTTTTCATTTTCCCTTAACAAAAAATGTTGAATAGGCATGAAATTGCTATTATGGAACAGTTCTATTAAAACAATGCCCATATTGAAAGAACCCAAACGTTTTCAAAATGTTTAGCCCCTCGTAATTTGTAAGGACAACAATACAATTTAGCGAGTGATTAGAGTGGTAATCAGAATCTATAGTTCTTAAATAAGGACTAAAATTACTAAAATTGATCAAACGGTTACTTGTTACATGGTTTAAATTATATGCTTCTACTATAGAAATTACCGAGGGCTCAAACTGGTGTAAATTATCACAATTCAAATGAAAATAATCCATTACGATACACAGAAATATCCAGGAATTGCAACAAATATTTAAAATTTAAGGCATTTATATTTGAATATAAATTCCTTTCCTTTGAGATCGACGTCTGAATTATATTGCTAAGTCACTGGTTATAATAATATTTACCGTAGGTGAAAATCTTTACTCCAACTCAGTATACCTCACAAATTCGATAGGGATTTTAAAAGAATATATATATTTTTTAATTAAGTAATGAAGCTTTTTGGAATTGTTACTGTACATATTTTAATAAAAATAAGTAACATAATTAATTTCTGTTAATTTAAAATAACAACAAAGAGTAATACTTCAAAAATATACTTCAATAAAAACAATGTTATTGATTACCACTACTATTATTTTATTAAGGCTTTAAAGTTATTAAATAGCTTTTAGCAACTAAATTTAATAAAATATATTAAATATTCTGCATTAGTATTTAAAAATACAATAAAACTATAATGTTGTAAATATTTAAAATTAATGTTGTATTTTATAAGAACTCGGTAAAATATCTATTAACTATCTAAGAAAACAAATTGTCATGGAAAATACTCATTTATCCATGTCTATATTAGTGACATTTGTCTTCTTTTTTTGTTCTTTTGCTCATTTTCAATTTTTGTTTTTCATTAATGTTCATGCTCTTATTGCGTTTCTTGTTCATCCCTTTGTTTTTTTTAGGTTTAACCATTTTACTCGTACTTTTTTTTTTAAATTGTAGATTGTTTTTCATTTTTTTTATTTCAATTGAATTTTTATTTTTGAAAAATTGAAGCAATCATGTTGGTGTCTTTAGTATCGAACTAACATAGTTAAAGAGACGGTTATTAATTTGTGATTTTTTTTGAATTTTTTAAATATATATATATATATATATATATATATTTTTTTTTTT